GGGTGTAAGATGTGACAGTATTTTTTTTTGGTACCTAACAAAGTATTCCCTCCGTTTTAAAATACTCGTTCCATTTCTATTTTTTGCACTATTCATTTGTCCTATTTTGACTAATGTTTGTGATTTATACATAAGAAAAAATTTAGTCTTGTGGGTACTTGTTGGAATCATCTCAATGAATAAATTATTAATTTTCAATTGGTAATTAAAGATATTAGTGATCAAAGATTAACATCGGCATGCGTGTCCAAGGAAAATGGAGCAAGTATTTAAAAACGGAGGGAGTAAACAAAGAATTAGGGATTGTATAATACTCCGTATTTTTTTTTATGATTTTGCTAGGAAGTTAATGCTTTTTTTCTAGATTTGTTATCTATTTATTTTGTTTTACTTTAATTGACGTGTTTTGACTATAAATAGTTATTGGCCCGGGCGATGCCCCTGGTCATTATAAATTTATTACTTTAATCGAACTATATATATTTTGGCTTGTTTATCATTGAGAGCTTAAACGCTGGTTTTATTTATTTATTTATTTAATATAATAGCTTAAATAGTTTGTTGCTTATATGAGCTGGTTTGATTATAAGAATAATTTTTTTACATTAAAATCATAAAAATATGATAAATCAAATTTTTATAAATTTGGGTTGATGCCAAAATATATACTACTCCATAATGCAAAAAAATCTTTTACTCTATGATTACAATTTTATGAGTTAATGCACAAAATAAAAATGGAGTAATGTTTAATTATTGTGTAATTATCAAGGAGTTACATTCCAAGGGAAATTGTCATGCATATGAAGAGTTCATTAATTATTAATTAACATTAATACATGAAAGTTAATGCATGGAGTTTTCAATAATTAATGTTATGGTATGTGTTGAATTGTGATGGGGCTGCAAAGGGGAGTCCAGGAGAAGCAGGTGGAGGGGCTATTATCCGGGATCACCTAGGGGGGTTTGTTTCTGCCATAGCTGCAAACTTTGGGATATGTAGTGCGTTTAGAGCTGAGGTACTAGCACTTACCAATGGTTTAAAAATAGCTCGAAATCTTCAAATACAGTAGCTCGAGATTTAATTGGACAATCTGTCATATGTCCAGATTCTGCAAAAGGACAGTATAGGAAGGGGGGAATGCTACCATGAGCTTACTTTTATGCTAAGAGATGCTCCGTAATGCTAGTTGGAAGACTAAAGTTATTCACATATATAGAGAAGGCAATCGCGCGGCGGATTGGTTGGCCAACCGCGGAGTCACTCAAGACACCGGAATACTTTTAATTGAATCGGTTCCTTTAGAGCTAAGCAGAATTTTTGCGGAGGATGCTAGAGGGGTTTCACTACCTCGCTTAGTTCCACCTTGATTTAGCTTCGCTTAGTTGGTAGTTGTTTGTTCTGTTTTCTTTTTGCTTTGTTTGTCCTGTTCTTTTTTATTTCTTTTCTACTGGAATTTTTCCTCTTATGGATAAAAAAATATATATTTTTTCGCTTGTTTATCATTGAGAGCTTAAACGGTGGTTTTATTTATTTATTTATTTAATAAGATAGCTTAATTAGTTTGTTACTTATATGAGCTGGTTTGATTATAAGAATAATTTTTTTACATTAAAATCATAAAAATATGATAAATTAAATTTTTATAAATTTGGGTTGATGCCAAAATATATACTACTCCATAATGCAAAAAAATCTTTTACTCTATGATTACAATTTTATGAGTTAATGCACAAAATAAAAATGGAGTAATGTTTAATTATTGTGTAATTATTAAGGAGTTACATTCCAAGGGAAATTGCCATCCATATGAAGAGTTCATTAATTATTAATTAACATTAATACATGAAAGTTAATGCATGGAGTTTTCAATAATTAATGTTATGGTATGATTTGGCGACATATCATATGCCAAATGGCAAAATTGGTGACACATGACAAAATATCATGTCTTGCCATGAGTTTTAATAATATATATTGATATTGATTGATAAATACTATTCATGTAAATTATTTTGGCATCCTTTAATGACCTGTAAATCTGTAATAGGCTTTTTTTAATTAACAACCGAAGATATTAATGTATCAAATCATTGATTGACTAATGTGTTTGAGAAAGCGTTTCTAGGAAAAATGAAATCGAAAACTTGATATTCTTTACCACTCTTACCGTACCATGGGTGACTAGTACCCAAAAATAGAGGTGGTAATTCTAGGCTAGCGCCTAGGTCAAATTCGAGAAGATCTAGTCGAGTTCTTTTCAAACTTAAGTCATGTTAAATTATTATATCCATTTTTGTCAAAAAAATAAAAAAATTATTATATCTATACATATCAAAATTCGATTGAAATCTAATATATATATAAAAATAAAGTAGAAATTTTTCGAGAACATTTGGAGCGCCACATAAGCAAAGTCATTATTTCGACTAATGAAAAAATAGATTTACAGTTTATTTTAGAATTAAAAAAATCAATTGCCACATAACCAAAATTAACGAATAGGATTTGAGAGTTTATATTCAAGCATTATTATAAATTAAAATAAATTAGATAATTTTTGTAAGTTAATATAGATAAGTAAACTAAAAAGATAACACAAATTTTTTAACAAAAGATAGACTTTTTTGAGAATTTAATTAATAGATGATAAAGTAAGTTGATTTAGCACAATGATATTACATACATTAACATAAACGTTTTTGGATATAACGCAAAAGAATAAACTTTTTTTTTTTGAGAATTTAATTAATAGATGATAAAGTAGGGTATTTGATTTATGATATTCCATACATAGCAAAATATAATTTAAAAAACAGAATATATATAATATAATCTAAAGATTAAATAAGTAGAAAACAAATCTATTCATTTTTAGATAATTATTAAAAAAAATTAAACAAAATTGATTTACAAGGTATAATTTATGAAGTCTATCATGAAATAAGAATAATAAATAAAAAAAAAATATTTTCTTGATAGAATTTTATGAAGTCTATCATGAATTTCATGATAGCACATAGTTAAAGTCAACCTGGCACTTCCCATCCCATTCTCATTCACCCTTATAAACGTTTCTTTAGCTCACCATTGGACTCACCCCATAAAAACGTTTATTTAGCTGATCACTGACTTCCCATCTCATTGCACTCACCCTTATAAATGTTTTTTTTAGCTCACTATTGGACTCACCCCATATAAACGTTATTTAGCTCACCATTGGTTGGGTCATTGATTTCAATATTTTGGTGGATGGAAAGTAATATTGTCATAAAAGGTTGAGGTTTATATCAACCTTCTAGATTTATTTTGCAGAGTAATGATTAACTTTTTAAGACTTTAGTTTATCATTAGGGATGATACTAATGATTTGTATACATTATTATGCTCATGCTACGCTTCATTCGTTCAAAAAATCATGATATTAGTATACTACTTATCTTATTATAATTTTTTTTGGCAACTTCTATATTCTAAAGATTGATTGAGTAATAGTTTCATATCAAGCAATCAAATGTGATAATGAAAGTTCATTATAAAAATTTAATTTTATTCAATTATATTAATTTCAGTAATGCAACACTCTTGGTATATATTTTTCATTTAACTATTTAAAAATTTATAAATTCATATTTTCGTACTATTTCTCCCACCGTCTTTATTTTACCATATAGTTTTGGGTTTAATTTATTAATTTTTCATCGTATAAAGTTGATACGGGGGAAAAGAATAATGATGGTCTAAGTTATTGTTTGTGAAAGAAAAATAGTGATTCTATATCTATATATGTATAGATGAACAACACGTTTTCGTTATACAAACAAAAGTTCAAAGAGGATATATAATTTTAAAAACAAAATAATATCTTTTCACATTAAAAATTTAATCCTAATATTCGATGATAATGAGATACTTTAAAATAGAGTATAAAACTACGAATAGTTATTTAGAATTTAAATTTTATGATAAAAAATATCTTTTAACATTATGAAAAATAATCATTTCAGATATGTATAAAAAAAACCGTGCATCGCATGGGCTTCCATCTAGTATATAAATAAAGTAGGCATTTTTCGGGAGCATTTGACGCGCCACATAAGAAAAGGTATTATTTTGACCAATGAAATTTTAGATTAATAATTTATTTTAGAATTAAAAAATTCACTCGCCACCTAAGAAAAACGTGACGAATAATATTTAAGAATTTTGCCACATAGTTAAAAATAACGAATAGTGAACAATTAAAATTTAAATTATTTAAAAAACTAATAATTATCTTTTTTACATATATGGATGTAAATCTTTGATTGTAAATATCTTTAATCTCTCCCTAGCAAATATTTTAGATTTTAATCACTATGTTTTTCCTTAGAGAAATTTAGAAGATTCCCCCTAATTTTTTTAATAGTTAAAGATTTTAGATGAGACTAACATTTTGAAACAGAACGAGTATATAAATAAACGCATTTGCAAAGGACTTATTTTAATCAATAAATAAAATGATTTGTCATTTATTTTTTATTAAGCAAAATTAAAGAATAAGGTTTGAAATTTTAAATTCAAGCGCCACGTAAAATAAATAAACCTACGAAAGATAACTTTAGTGTTAAAATTTTAAAAAAATTATCTTATGATATTAGGAATTTTATTCAAATATCCGATTATTATATAAAAAAAATCTTAAATTAATTAAAAAGATTTACTAAAACCGTACATCGCATGGACTTTTGTCTAGTTTTATTTAAATTAGTTCTAAATTCCGTCGATTTGGTGAATTTTTAACACCTCGTTCTAAATACCCTCGAAGTTTGAGGTTTCAACCGCGTCAATTTTTTCCTACGCAATACACTCGGCAAAACTCAAAAATTTCAACATTGTACAACACGTCATATTCCAGTGACCCAGTATGTACGCAATTTAGGTGACAGCATCGTCTTTGACGTGCCACGAAAGTGTCTATCCCTAAAACGACCAATCCCATGAAGCTGTGAGATTGTAACAGGTGCAACCCCTGTATCACTGCTACACACCCAAAATATATAAATAAACCATTCTTACAATACTATTTTAGAAATCTTTCATCTTCTCTCTTAACTTTTCATCGTTAATCACAAGTCAAAAACGAAAGCCATGAACACACTAGAAGCTCAAAAGGTTTGATTCTTTTTTTTTTAATAAAATTTATGCTTTTGATCTTTAATTAATTATAAATCTTTTATTATGATTAATTTTATGATGATTATTTTGTTGTATGATTATTTTAATTGTTCAATTGTTTATTACATGAGTTTGATTTGATTATAGTTGCTAGATTTCATTTCTGGGGAATTCAGCCGGAATTCTGTTATCAGGCTATATGATGTTGATTTATATATCAGATTTATTTATTTTTTTTATTTTTTTTGTCTGAATTTAAGAATTTTAGCTTTAAGATCATTTAGATTATTCAATGGCAGATTTTTTTTTATTTTTATCTGATTTTAGGCTGGATTTCTTATATTATTGTTCTATTCACGATTAATTTTTAGCGAATTATAGACCCTCGGACAATTTTTTAAAAAATTGATTGGTATTGTTTGATCATAATTATGTAGAATTGACTGAAAAAAAACAATCTGATGCTGCATTATTGCTTCTAAATTAATGAAAATTTGAAGCAGCTGCTGTATCTGGGATGATCAATTTAAGGCATCTTAGCTTTTGCTTATTGTTTTGTGAAAATCTCGTAAATATTGCATTTGTTTGTGTTAAATTACATCAACTATTTCATGAATTTTGATTGAGTAAAATGAAGTATCTAATTGTCATACCAAAGTCATAGTTTTGAGCACTGGACTCAGATATTTGACTTGAAATGAAGAGTCGGAATAACATAGTAATGGAAGTGTTATGGTAGCGGGTACATTGACGTATATGGTATTGGATTGGATATGAAAGTTTTGATGAGTTAATACCTTTTTAATGAAAATTATATCATTTTCCTTGCAAAATAAGAAAGAAATAATATACAAAATATCATTTTGTGCTCTGAGTTTGATTAGCATTTAAATTTCACAAGTTGCTTGCTTAATTGAGATTGATGTTGTGGTGAATATGTCCTGCAGGAAACTAACATGGGCGATGCATCTGAATTTGTTATGGTCGAAAAAGAGGAACTGCCGTGCCATAAAGATACCAGTGTTGTAGAGAAAGAGAAGTTAAAAGAGTATGATGTGCCTATACATAGTGAAGTAGAAGAAACAGAGAAAGAGAAGTTGAAAGAGTATGATGTCCATGTTGAAGCAGAAGAAACGGAGAAAATGGAAAAGAGTGATAAACGCGAACAAGAAGAAGAAGAAGAAATAAAGAATACAGTACAGGAGAAGAGTGCTGGTGATCCACGTGAGTGGGAACGAGAAGAGGAAGTGAAGAGTGCTGAGAAGGATGATAAGAAAGGTAACGAAAGGAAAATTAAGGAGCAACAGGAGCACCCGATGACTGAAGATCAAAAAGAAGAATCAGTTCAGCAGCAGGTGATTGATAATGATAACAATAAGAAAAGGAAAAAGAAGGAAGATGAGGTTAAGGATGGTTCTAAGGATGGAAAACAGAAGGAGAAAGCAAAGGAAAAGAAAAATAAGTCGGAGAAGAAAGTTGAAAAGAAGGAAAAGGCAGCCGATAATGAAGGTGACACAGCTGAAGAATCAGATGAAGAGTCGGATAAGAAAAAAGACAACAAAGGAGACAAGAAGAAGGAGAAGAAAGACAAGAGTGTAGAGGTAGAGTCTGAAGATGGAAAAGTGAACAAAAAAGACGACAAGGACAAGAAGAAAAAAAAGAAAGATGAAGAAAAGGATGGGAAGAACAAGAATGAGCAGGATGGAAAAGTAAAGGAAAAATCAGAAGAGAAGAAGGAGAAAGAATTGAAGAAGAAACAAAAAGATGAGAAGTCTGAAGTTGAAGGTGAAAAAAAGGAGAAGAAGGATGTAGTTGTAGGGTCTGAGAAGAATGAACCTAAGAAAGATAAGAAAGTCAAGAAAGAGAAAGCAGAGGAATCAGAGGAAGAACTAGCAAAGGATAAAGACAAGAAAGGAGACAAGAAGAATAAAAAGGTTGATAAAAAGCATGTAGATGAAGATGAGGTGAAGGTAGAGTCTGGACATGAAAAAGAGAAAGAAAAGGACAAGAAGAATGGGAAGAAGAATAAGGATGATGATAAAGGTAAGAAAGAGAAGAAAATAAAAGAAGGTCGCGAGGAAGGATCTACGGAGGAAGAAGGGAAGGACAAAAAGAAGGAAAAGAAAGATAAGAAGCACAAAGGCAAAGACAGTGAAGGGGAGAATAAGGGTGAGGTAGACTCAGAGGAGGATGAAGTGAAAAAAGATAAGAAAGGAAAGATAAAGAAGAAATCTGAGTCTGAGAAAACTAGAGAGTGTGCAGAAGTAGGAGAGGAGCAGGACAAAAAGGAAGAAAAGAAGGAGAAGAAGAAAGACAAGACAAAGCATAAGTCTGGGGATGATTCAGAGAGAGAATCTGAAGCGGAAGGGAAAAAAGAAAAATCAGAAGGAAAAGTGAAAAAGAAGAAAGATAAGAAACTGAAGGATGAATCTCATGTAGAAGATGACTCATCAGAAGAAACTGAGAAAAAGAAGCAAAAAAAGAAAGATAAGAAAAAACCGAAGGATGATGATAAGAAGTGCAAGGATGAAATTGCTTCAAGGGAGATAATTAGTGATAAAGATTCAGAAGATATTGATGAGGAGCAGCAGAAGAAAATTAAAAAGAAAGAGAAGGTAAAGAGTAAAAAAGATGAGGGAGATGATAAGGTCAAGGATCTTGTGAAGCTAAAGAAAAAGCTAGGAAAGGTTGAGGGAAAGATAGAAGCGCTTCTTATTGAAAAGGCCAACCTCGTGAGTCAAATTAAAGAGGCGGAGGATAAGAGTCGTGCATTTCTCGACACAGTCAAAGAAATACAGGGTGTTACTTCCACAGTTCAAACAGGGAAAATGAAGGAGGTGGCAACAAATAGCAATGATCATACAAACAAACATGAAGATGCAGTTGTACTTGTAGCTAAGGATGTAAGGATTGAGAAGGTAGAGAATGAGCACTTTGTCATTCCTGAGAAGTGTAAAGATGTAGCCATTCAAGAAGTTAAAACTCAAGCACCATAGGATTTTATTCGGATTGCTTGGAAAGAAGATGAAGATGGTTGGTGAGACACTTGTATTCTATGTCGTTTTTGTTTTATGTATACTGTGAGTTTACTTTGTGTGAAAACAATTTCTAAGAATGTATGAAATGAATAAAGTAAATTTTGGATCAGATGATTTCCTTTATACTTAATTTTCTTTAGCCGAGAGTAGTTTTTAGTCCTCATCTTTTGATCTATAGAATATTTTCACCAATTCCAGCGTGAGATGGCAGCATAATCTTTTCTATTGTTTTTGATCCCTTACGTCTATATTGAGCCTTTGTTTCATAATCATAAGTCACTCTATGATTCATTTGTTGATCATTGTTACACAATTCTAGCATTCAGACCTTAGTTTGTAACTACATTTTCCCAATTCTATAGTCACATGTACTTCGACCATTACACATTATCTTCTAAGCTGAGCTCAGTGTGCTAACTTCTGATTGTATGCCAGAACTGTGTTAAGATCAATTGCTTTATATTTGTTAAATAATTTAAGTAATTGAACTCCATACATGTCTGTTATTTGTAATATTAAATATTTTGATTCCATTGCTAATCTGAATTATTGAACTTTATGCAATGTATATTCTGAATTCTTGAGCTTCTTAGTATGGCACGTGATTGGATAGAAATGATTGGATTTGTTGCTGCTAGATTTTTATTTTCTGATTTATTTGTTGCAATTTAATCCTTGAAATTACAAGCTGATCTTTCCAGAATGTTTTTCTTTTCTATCCCAAAGCAGCATGTACTTTTTCATAGACAAGCTTTGTTCGTTCTTTTATCTGTCACTGCATCTGTATAACCGCAAAGCATAAGTTTTATCATGGTTTTCATAGTCTGAATGCATCTGTATAAGCACAAAGTACTAATTTACTGAGTTTGTTCAGCCATGCTGTTACTTGTGCTGACAGTAGCATCAATAGTGTGTGATCACCATTTTAGGTTTTCTTTTATTTCACGTCAGCTTTCATCTTTTGCTGAATTTCAGCAAAGATTGTACAAACAGGTCATGGAGCTACTGCATGCTGTAATTTCAATACCCCATTTTGGATTGGGAAGCTACTCCTGGGAAACGATGGGAGGACACTTCACTTTATTAGAAGAATATTTAACCTGATGAGGACTCTCCCTGATTTTATGCTTTCATCAGATTTTTTTTTTTAATTAAAAAAAATTCTTATTCAACCCAAATACAGACCATGAGAAGTCTAACAGCAGCATGACTCTTAGAATTCTATGTACTCCATCAATTCTGCTCATTGGGATTTGATTGTACTTTACCAGGTAGGTTAGGTTACTAATGAATTCTGTATAGTTGTAAGGAACCATGATCTGCAACGTTTACATACGAAATGTTGTATTAGAGCATGGTAAGTTAAGATATTAGACAGGTTAATGCCGTAAAATGCCAGAGTTTATAGCCAAATTGACTTCAAAGCTGGAGTTAATTATCATATCAATGCCGGTGTGATTGCGTGAATTCCCTGTAGTATAGACTTTGGATAGTCAGCATGTGGTGGTGAAGTAATCCTGTTGAAGTGTTGAGGCCCTGCCTGTCGGATGTAACAAATCCCTGCCATTTGTTCGTATTTAAGAATCAAGAGTAACTAGTTAAAATCTGAACAAAAATATGGAAGAAGTTTATGTTTTGATCGGTTAGCTAGAGAGAAGAAAACATACCCTGAATTTTAGTGTGTTTTTAAGGAAACCAGTAATGAGATTATAAATAGAATGCATCATAACACCATTCCAGCTGGACTAAGAAACCAGGACTTTAGATACACCTTTGATAATCGCGTTGTAGTAGCCAGGCATGTGAATGCTGAGCAGCCCAAGAAAGTCTGTGTTGTTCTCGTTGATCCCGTCTGTAGTGCCACCATCTCCCACATAGTGCTTAGCACAAGCAGCAATGTTGTTCCTGAAAATAAACAGATCATCAAGCCATGAATAGCATGAGAAACTCAAAACATATAGTCCAAACTCTTCATGGATTATGTTACAAACTTTTTTTTTTTTTTTTATTTGAGTGATTAAGTTGTATTGTTGATTTCTTTGCTTGGTCTTCGAAATTGGAGGTAACATGCATATGGTGTTTTACAAAGGTAATATTGTAACCTGAAACTAGGCGGTATGTATTGTTTATACTCTGATCAAATTATTTAGCTCTCATGTTATTTATGTGACTAACGAATCACGGATACTGTCAACAAGAGAAACACCGTCTAGTAAAAGATCATAGCACGGTTGTTTCAGATTATCTACTACATTCTATACCCCCTCAACCCTTCCAATACATCATCCTCTGTCAACCATCTTTCAGGATTTTGGTTTCCCAGAGTTTAAGCAACTTTAGAAATTTTATATTTGCAAATTGAACGTAGTATATCGAGTGGTTTTATTCCACTTATAATTAAGTCACTGGTGGAATTGTGGTCTAGATTACTCCTGTCATACCATCGATTAAGCTCTTCATTTGACCACTAAACCATAGTTTATTATACCTGACATACTTTCTCAATCCACGTTTTCTAACATTCTCTAATGACCATATGTTACAATTGATTAATGCTTAGATTTAGGTCCAAATCAGTATAAGAATTTTCTCACAAAATTGTAAAGTGACAACGGATCAACTTAAAAATTTGTATGAAAAAACAAATTGAAATTGTATCCAAAAAACATAATAGTTTTGCTTTTATTTACAAATCCTGCCATTCAAGAAACAAAGAATGTTTCTCAAGAAGAGGGAACTGGGGTTTGGCAGGGAAGTAGTACTCCTAGTACTTCTGTACTTTGTATGTGTAAGCCTGTAAGGTCTTGAATTGGAAACAAATAAACCACAAGATTATATATACGGAGTACGACATACCAAAAACTGAACTACATTAACTAGCGAAGTCTAGTAACACCTTTAACTTCAAATACAATCTAGATTTAACATAGGTCAGTTTTAACACGGGTTGCAAAAATAAACAGATTGATCATTATAAGGATCCAAAATTCAACAATGAAAGTCTCAAAAAAATTTGATTGCACATATTTCATCCCACAAACAAAACTACTCGTCTTCTTGGCTGCGCAGACGGGCAAGCTTGTTAGTGACTACTACGTCAAGTTGGGCAGCACGCTCTACAATATCCTTTCTCTTTTTGGTAGAGATGTTGTGTGCAATCTCAGCACAGTAAGTCCTGAAAATAGGCAATATACCAGTCACAACCAGAAAATACACCACAAGAAAGAACAAGGTGAAACAGTGTAAGGATAGGGTTACCTGTTATGCATCATCAACAGCTCAAGGTCACCAACATTATGGACGACAAACTTCTTAAACCCGTTAGGCAGAAAATGTCTGGTTTTCTTGTCACTTCCATACCCGATGTTTGGCATCAAAGTGACACCCTTGAACTTTCTACGTACACGGGAATCTATACCTTTTGGGCGTCTCCAGTTAGTCTGGAAGGTACAGCCATTCAGATTAATGAGAATTGGGTGGAAAATCGAACAATTGTAGTGTTAAGACCAATCTAGTCCGCATAAAATAAAAGGCTATACTTCAAAATACACCCCGAGTTGCTAAAATTATAAAATACAAATTAGATTACAAACTTGAAAACAAATCGAGAAAAGAACACAATACAATTAGTTTCAAGCATTAATATCAATTATCAAGTTTTAACCAACCATAATCATAAGCAAGTCATAGAATGCAATTCACGCACTGAATTTTCTATAACGTCAAAGATCAAATTATGCACAACCTAATGAAAATTTTGGATTAGAATTTCACATTGGGTAGACATGAATAATCAGGTTCCAACCAACTTTACAGGACAAACTAACTAAAAATTTGGAGATCAACATTTGGCCAAGTCATAATCAAAAACTAAGGTACAAACTTCATACCTTCACGCATATCTTCCTGTCACTTTGAGGTCTCTTAAATTGTTTAACCCTCTTCTTGACAATTTTTTTGTCGAGTTTTGGGACCGCCATTGCTAATTACTACAAAATTTACCAAAAATAAACCAAACTTTGAAATTAAAATCAAAATTAAGAGGAAACACAAGCTTATGTGCCAAATGCAGGAAATTAAGTGAGCCGATGAAGATGAATGTAGAAGAGAAAAACTCGAGTTTACAACAAAAGTTAAAACATACATTCAACAAGAGTATAAGGTTATTCTGACAATTTATTAGCAGAAGCATACAAAAATTAATTAATCTATACCGTAATTTATGGGTAAATACAAGTTAATCTATGAGATTCACAAAATTTGTTTATCACATGGCAATTTTGTAAATAAATCAACAACTTTTTCCATAAAAGTGGGTCCTATAGTGATGATGACGGGATAAAGTTGTTGATTTATTTACCAAAATGCCATGTGATAAACAAATTTTGTTTATCCCAGAGATTAACGGGGGGCTTCCTTGTAATTTATGGATGTAGCATTAACCAACATTGAAGCTAGAAGACATGAAAGAAAAATGCAACCTTGTTATATATAATCAATAATTTGCAAACTAATGAAATCAATTGTTTGAGTAACTTAAATATGGTTGTAACTTGAAACAGCAAGCAAAATTGATAATGTAGGTAAAACATAATATTAATCTCTAACCTAAGCCATTACTCCATTAGTATAAATTTACCCACGAATTTCAGACAATTTATCATGGCAAACGCCCAAATAATTTTCTAAGTGTCAAGAAAAATGCTCCATGAAAACATTTAATACATAAATTAATTTATCAAATTTTATGAATCATAGCAAACGTATCATTAATTTATTAATTTTTCTAATTATCACGGTCTATAAATCAAAGCATCAACTGATTAAGCTAATTCAACAAATGAGGAGAAACCCTATTAATTATTTAACATTTCAAAACCTAAAAAAAATAGTCTATAAATCAAATCGTACACCTAATTTAACAGATAAATTAACAAAGAGCATTGATTCGTTGATTATAAAATTGAAAATGTAAATACTTCGTATAAACATAGGTATAATTTTACAGTAATACCTAGAAAAACAAGAGAAAACTCGTAAGATTGATATTAAACAAACAACTAATAAGCATGAAATCAAACAAAAAAGAAGAAGAAACGCATAAAATCAAAATGATGAAAAAATGAAGTAAGATCGAGAAGAGGAGAGGGAAAAACCTGGAAGTTGCAGAGAGAAGATGGGGTAGTCGGAGGCGCAAAGAGTAAAATGGAGTGAGAAAAACCTGATGTTTTAAAACACCTAAAACCCTAACCTTTCCACAAGGCCCATTTTAACACCTGCCTTTTTCATTTTTGGTCCATCAATTAATGGCTTGACAAGGGTGGTTCTTGTGTAATAGGTTAGTGGGTTGTGTCTTGTGTGTGTAAATTTGGGTAGAGGTGATCAAAAATGGGGGAATGATGAACCGCTATTTGGTATAGTTCACCTCGCCCAACATCAAGTGACATTATTTTTTTTTATGGTAAATCAGTACTTAATAAATTAATAACAGTACTTGATAAATTAATAACAGTGTCCTAATTTAAAATAATAATTTTTAATAATACGAGTACACTGATTTTTACTATAATTTGATTTGTTAATTACTTAAATGACTTTTATTGGTACTAATAATCACTACTTTACTACTTATATATTAAACAAATTAGTGTTTATATTTGATAGCCCAATACCTGAACTTAGTCTCGACAATAGAACCTCCGGCGTTCTGAGCTTTCGGCTTTACCAAGGTAGCTAACCCCAACCCCATCTTCCATAGATCAGGCACAGCACAGATCTAATTTGTTTCCTACCTTAAATCGTAGTCTCTACTCAAACACTCTTTATTGTATTTGTGATGGTACTTTTAAATATAAAAATAACTCATCTGAAATATAAGTTTTGAGAGGATAACGTTCCCTTTTGAAAGGAAAATTTTTTATTTAATTTGAAATATTACAACACTCATTTCTTACAGAATTAAAAACAGAAAGTCTAAACAGACATGACAAGAAATAAAGTTTTTCTCTACTTTAAGAGAGATGGAGAACCAATATGTCTCTTAAGGTGAGGATTTTCTCTAGAGAATTTTCTTGTTTTCAGAAATGCTCTAGCCAACTCACTTCAAGCCTGCCTTCACTTCTTTGTCTAATGCCCTTTATATAGGGGAAGGCTCACAAAGGTTACCGACACTTTATATGGTTTACAAAAAACCATGACTCAGCAAGTGAATATTGTTCACTGCTTTTTTAAAGATTCTTTAAAATTAATTCAACGTGCTACAACAGTAAAAGTAGAATTCATTATTGCTGGTGTGGGCTCAGAACTCCATCATATCTTGTAGACCACCTTTATTATCCTTACTGTCTTCATAATGGACATACATTTGGTTGTCTTCTTCTATACCGAGATCCATCACACATTTGGCAGCATAGGATTCATCCCATGTGACGAAGATCTCCAATAAGTGCTATTTTCCTTCTAAGAATAAATATCTCCCAGCTTCAACTTGTTCAAGATAATCATACACTAATTCGCCATGTAATACTCCTTCTAAATAATTTCTTAACCATTCTGGTGCTACTATTGTGGTACTTCCCACATGTATTATAAATGGTGGTTCTTCCGTTATCGCTATGAAATGGTTAAGATACTGGGCATTATAGAAAAATCCATAAACTCTTGCCTTCGTAGGGTCTTTTACTCGCCTTTGCTGGATACAGATTGGATCTTTGACTTTGCGATGAACATCTTCAAACATGATCAGGAGATGTGGAGAGCTAACTTTTCCTTCAACCATTTCAATGATTGTACTTTGTACTTGGACTTGTTCAACTCTTCCTTTGATCTTGTTGCATCACAAATTCTGCTAAATATATACCTCTGAAATTTTGTGAGCTTCTCAAAGAAAGTAGTATTAATATCAGGAAATGGTACAATGCCATACCATTCCATAATCCCAAGCTTTGTAGTGCTCCGCCACATATGGTGCCCTCCATTTCAGAGAATATGGATGAATTGACACAATTTCTACTCTGGAATTGGTGTTGAACATTACTCCCCCATATATTATAGACATCATATAATTTGTATGACCTTGATACAGCTAAATCGTACCAGAATCTAAAATCGTTATCTTTTATTTTATTTAGTATTATATTTTTAATATCTGGAATAAGTCGTAGGATGATGACCATTACTTCATACATTAGGAACCTTCAAACTGCTACATGACAACTTGTAGGGAATATTTCAAGCGTTAATCCCCTAGCTTGAACCCCACTGTGATCATACACTAAAGTACGGCGGCGTCCAAAAGGGAAGAAGATAGAGCAAAAGAGTCGCCAACAAGTTTTAGGAACTTGTAAACCGTTCACAGGGTGAAGGTTACACCCCTTAACGATCCAAGAGATCGTCAACTCCTTGAACCAAATAAGGGTTCGGGGATGATGGTACAAATCCAACCTAAAAGAGATTGAACCTGCCCTAATAATAAGCCTCTACTTTATTCTGATCGTATTCATGTGCGCTTTCTGACTAACATGCAATCAATAGGATTACCCTAAACCTGTTTATCTATGTTGGTTGAATGTTAATGCACAAATAAATCTATTATTGGCGATCACTTGAAATTATAATCACATTAACCCAAAACAAGATTATTAAATTATCTTATTAAGCGTGATTACAAGTACCAATTCCCTTTAAACATGCATAAAAGGTGTGATCAAACAATAACAATAAAACATCATCAAGCAACATAATAAATCATAAATATCATAATAATAACAATCATCATAACAATAATCAAAATAATAATTATAATCATAATCATAACAATAATCATCATAATAACAATCATATTAATCATAATAATAAAAATTATAGTAATAATAAAATTATAATCATAATCAAAACAATTATAAAAATAATCATAAATCATGTTAAAGCATAATAAAAAATAGCAAGATCCTAGGTATGATACTATCGAGATTAATAACAAATCCTAGCATGTCACTAAACATTAAAAAATCAAATCTTTAATCCTAACATGATACTAACAATCATAAATATTAGGAAGAACATGGGAAGCATCGTAACAATCATATTTAATATTAAAAGTACCCTAGACATGGTACTAGGAATATCATAATAACAATTTAGACATGATTTCTACATCATAACATCAATAAAAACCATAAAGCACTTACTTTGATGCCTTGTACCTCTTTCTAATAACAAAATACACACGTTAGTAACTTCAAGGAAAATAAAAGACAAACAATTAAATTAAATAATTGAAATAGAGATTTGGGACCAAACCCTCAGAAATTAAACCTTTCACGTCTAGGGCGAAGGCAACTTCGAATATGGCTAGGTGTTTCTAGATCTAATGAATGCGGAATTTTGTATGTAAAAAGCGAGTTTAGAAAAAGAGAGAAATAAAGAGAGATGGTGAATGATCAGAAGAGAGAATGAGAAAGTCGATGAATGAAAACTGGTTGTAGGTGAATGACAACAAAATTTTTAATACGTTATTTATAGAGAAAATCAGCCAAAAAGATAAAATTAACAAAACAGAGCATTGGCGCACAAAAAACAGAACTGGCGCCAACGCTGGCTCATTGGCGCTAGGCGCCAACATTAGCGTCAGGCGCCAATGCTAGCGCCAGGCGCCAGGATTAGCGCCAGGCGCCAATGTCTGGCGTTAGGCACTAATTCTGTTTTTGTCGCGTTTTTTAAAATCAGATAAATTTTGCCGTATTGGAGGATGAAATCATATCTTTCCTCAAAAATGCTCTTTGATTTTAATTAAAAACTCTGAAAAGTCAACAAAAGTCAATTTATCAATGCTAATTGAATTAGGAATGAAAAGAACCTTCTAGAAGAATCTAGAAGACTAAAACCATTCCTAATTGCATTAGGAATGATAAATCTATACTAGACCCTCCTCTAGATCATTGGGCCGCATATAAGGCTCAAACCGGGCCCAGTTTAGTAAATTGGCCATAATTTCCTCAATATTCATCGGAATTGGGCTTATAATATATCGTTGGAAAGCTCTTGTCAAGCCCCATCCAACTACACTACTATTGGACCCATATCATGGACCAACCAAACTGGATTGGCTGTTTTATTAAAATAAGTTTTCAAAAACAGAGAGAAGAGAAAAGAAATTAAAACTATCCGCAACACTAAACTTTCCACACTTTCGCTTCATTCGATTATGATTCAACGTGAAAGGTACTCATCCGTGGGTTTGGTTTTGGGGAGACACAAATGGGTGTCTACACAACTCTTAATCAAACCTTCTAGAGATCTCTTTTTTGATGAAAAAATCATGGCCTTCATCAAGGCCCAAGTGGAGGGTGAAACCCGCTCCATTGATTTATCTGTTTCTTCAATAAGAGTTTTTCTCTCTGCCTCCATCTTTTCTAGTTGTTTGACAGGAGGTTTTTCTGATGTCATGTGCTTCTTCGCCATTGGCTTATTCTCTAGTCAAACTATTTGCCAATGAATTCTTCAATCCCTGAATATGTTCAATAATAAAAGAGAATTGGTTAAGCCATTATTGCCAACGCATGAGTCTCCTTTGTGCTTGCATATTTGACAAATTCTTTTTAACAAAACCAAGTATGCCTTTGCAATCTATTCTTATTAAGAATTGTTTAGGGGCTAAGAAGATTAAGAGCTTCTTGATCCCTCTAATGACTGCAAGGATTTCCTTTTGCATGGTAGGATAATTTAACTCAGCTTTATTAAAACTTCCACTACTATATTTACATAGTCTTTCTCCTTTTTTTGATTTTTAACACAGCACTCCAGTGCTCATTATTAGCATCTGTTTCAAGGATTAAATCATCTACACTAGTAGGTAGTGTTAGTATAGTAAGATCTTTACACATAGCTTTTAAATCTTGAACAATTTTGGACACTTTCCTTCCAGTTCCAAGTTATTTCCTTCTTGAGTTTTTGTTGTAATGGTTTTCTTAGCAGAGCAAGATTTTCTATGAAATCAGAAGCATAGGTTAAACATCCTAGAAATCTTTCTAGTTGTTTTCTATCTTCAATTTTATCTGGGAATTTTTCAATCTTTTTAATATGTTTTTGCAATATTATTTGTCCTGCTTTAATCTCTAATCCTAGAAACTCAATTACTTGTTTGGCATAAATGCATTTATATTTTACAAGGATTATACCATGCTCAACACATTTTTGAGCTACAACTTTAAGATCATTCATATGTTGCTCTAAATCTTTTGAGAATATTAAAATATCATCTATGTAAACCAAACAACAATGATTAAGTTCTCTAAAAATATTATCCAT